CAAGTAGATTGATTCCACTCCTTCAGGCTCTAACTTCGCTCTCCTGTACACTGACAAATCAGCTCTTATGTAGGCAATAAGACCACCTCCACCTTTTTTGCGATCTCCGCGAACAATCCGAAGACCTGGTTGGGCTAAGAGGAAAGTGGAAGTAGTAGCATCGATTTTAGTCTCAGCAATAAATAAAATGTCAAACATGTTCCTTCTAAGCATCTCTTTGATTTCATCTATTTTGTTTATCAGGCTGTTGATATTTAAATAAGCAATTTTAAGATTGAACTTATAGTATTCCCTTATGTTGGCCTGGTACCAAGCGAGAGAATCTAACCCATCTTCGCTAACTTCGCTAAATGTAGACGTGTTGCAATATGACATATGACGAAGTTGAACTTCTGCTTGGAGTCGTTCGTGAATATTCCTCCCAGAAGGAGTACAAGACATCCAATACATGAAATCTGTTATAGGTAAGTGCACTTAGATGGGTGACTGTCAAATTTATACGTGTTGGTTTACTTTCTTTTAAATTCACTTGAATTTAAGAACTGAATCATGGATGCACTTGTAGGGAGGTTTGCTAAGCACTCAAGAAGCTAGAGTCTCCCTCAGCTATCGTCTTGAGTGATTCTTACACTTCTTTCGTGCTTAGTAACCTTTTGCGTGCATCCATAACTGAATAGTGTGTAATGTGGTGTTGGCCATTTGTTAAAATAATAGTTATCCCTGATGATGTCGTGGATCAACAAGAACTTGAAATTTCAATTTCTCCATACCATTTCTCAGTAGTTGTTGCACGGTCAGACCTACCTTGAGCTTAATTATCATATAAAAAATATGCTCCTGCTGGACAACAACTGACGCTGGACTATGCATTAAATGATCCAGACAAACGTTTCCTTGCCCTTTCAGTTTGTAAACTTCTCTGGATTAATTTACCAAAACCCTTTTAACTCGTGGGACAATTAACATGTAACCTCTCCCCTGATGATAATATCCATACATTACTCAACCAACAAGTAATGAGAATACTCAAACTTATCTCAAACTTATCCGGTATAAGTTATTTTGATCTAACCCAAATTCTTATAACGTATTTATACAGAAATGTACCACAGCAGTGAGAATTAACAATCAGATCTTGTTAGTACAAGAATTAAGCGCCTGAACCTTATCTCGAGTTCGAAGTTCGATAGGGATGGATGAGGGAATGCCAAGAAGACTTTGTATCGATGGAGATGGGCGCAAAAATAAATTTGGATTCTTTCTTGAGTGAGGGAAAGGGCCCGTTGAAAACTTGTGATACATCTACAGCCTCTAAAGCGAAAAAATAATGGTGTTGCTGAGCCAGGAAGTGGTGGAATTCCTAGTATATATGCAAATAAAAGACAACGACCACAGCGTAAGTTCTGGCAAAGATCATTCTAGTATCACACATCAAAGTACAAGTTCCGTTAATGATGATGTCACCTCAAACCATTAAAACACGTCCTTTGTTTCTGGGAATGAGGTAAATGATAGCATCCAAACCAACTCCAATGCTACAACTGGCGCCAGTGGTTTTAAGATGGAAGAGGCTCAGCTGCCCAAATTTACCGGAGACGTAACAGAGTACGCCATTTTTTGCGCCAATTTTAAGCATGCGGTAGAATTAAAGTACAGCAAACCACAGGCGGCCCAAGCGTACTGTGTGTGATTTTGGAGTCTATAGTTCATTAACGGCGTTAGCTGACATATTAAGATCGAATTTTAAGCGTATCGCGGTGGGAAAGGGAAAAAATTTTAAAAGAAAAGTTAAGGAAAAACTTAAAAGGATAATAAAAGCGAGGAATAAAACGTGTGAAGTCTCCTTATCTTTTTTCCGTTGCCCACTTGTTGCGAACGGTCGTATTAATGCTGTTTTGGCGACTTACTTTGTAACGCGTGCGGTGTCACCAGTCAACTGTATCATAGGAAAAATTTAAAAAAAAAATAAAGAAGAAGTAGAAAAAGATATTAAAAGCGCGGAATATATCATATCAAATGAGTATATGGGCAAATAAATGGCAAATGCACTCCAATCCGGATAAATGCGAGGTCATGCGTATTACACAGAAAGGATAAAACTAAACCAA